GCATTTTATCACTTCTATATCAAAAGAGTCAATACTCCTAATTATATCATCCAAATAAAATTAAATGTTTTGTGGCAGCTTTTATTTCATATTTCATTTAATTTTATTAACCCATAAGGTCTCCATGAAATGGATTAACCTTTTTGTAATCTACAGGTAACAATATTAACAGGTGGGCGATTTGTGCAAGACAGTGTGGCATTTTAAAGTTCTAGCTGAAATTCAAACATTACATCTAGAAAATATACGTGGATGTCAAATTACACGTCTAACTATATGGTCATTGTTTTTTATAATCAGTTGGCTTTAGGACTTCAGTGTGACAGTTAGTCACACTTGAAATTCACATATTCCAATCAAGTGTATCCCTAGCAACGAAAATACCTAATTGTTATTATTCAGGATTAAATAAATGTTTTCCTACTCTTCTCCTCAAGAAGTTTTATATACGTGTACTAAATCTGCATTTCTATACAGAATGAAGATGGTAGTGATTTTGAGGAATATTGGACACATCATGTGGTTAAGTTAGCATAGTTCAGTCTTAGAATTGAAGCCCGAACCAGAGAATAAGTTGAGGTTTGTCGTTTGTTGTTGCTGTTTTCCCCCACAACCCTCTTTATCACACATCAGAAGTAGAGAAGAGTAGGGGCGCCTGGGTGGCTCAGTCGTTAAGCGTCTGCCTTCAGCTCAGGTCATGATCCCAGGGTCCTGGGATCGAGCCCCGCATCGGGCTCCCTGCTCCGCGGGAAGCCTGCTTCTCCCTCTCCCACTCCCCCTGCTTGTGTTCCCTCTCTCACTGCCTCTCTCTGTCAAATAAATAAATAAAATCTTTAAACAAAAAAAAAAAAGAAAAGAAGTAGAGAAGAGTAAATGACCTGAATGATCTTAGGATGGGGATTAGACATGTGGAAGAAGACACAGGAGGAAGAGCTGAGGGAAATGTCTGATGGTAGAAGCTGTTTGGGAAATAGTATAAATTGGCAGGCTAAAGATGACTGGCCACATGTTTTTGTCACTGCTCAGTTTTAAAGGCATTCGTCATTTCTCCCTATGTAGGGGGAGATTCTGGTACTGTAGAATCACAGTCCTTTAAAAGACCATTAAATATTCAAACATTGTATAGAGATAGAGGTATAGTTTAAAGGAGAAGTAATTTTAGATCTCCATTAAATCACTCTCTTTGCTTCTCTTTATTTTCAGAAGGGAAAAAGGGGGCCAACTTTTCATTCTTCTCATTGAGTTGATAGGTTTTCATGTCATGAATTTTTAATGCCTCATTTAAGAATTTAATTATGAGCTGGGGTGTGAAGCATAGTGTTAGGTGTCTTTTCTCCTTAGACTATCAAATAGGAAGGAAAAATGGTGATTATAGAAATAAATTAAAAGTGGCTATTTATTAACCATCTACTAAAACTGCCTACTAAGAGTGTTTACGGATGTTCATAGTTAGCATTGAATTTTGCCAGCAATAAAAGTTAATGCAAAGTTTCAGTACTCTTGATTACAGAATTGTTCATAGAGCAAAAGGTTCAGCAAAGAATAATGCATTATTAATCTAAAGGGCATTGTTAACTTATCTACTCTTACATGGAGATTTTACTATAATTCAGGGGAACTCAGGAAAATAAATAAATTATGGTAAATTTAGTCCACATAATCAATAAAGATGAAACGTTCTTTTTTTCTTCACATACAAATATATCCTCCATAAAATCTAAGTCAACTTACAGATATTGTAATGCTTCAAAATGAATTAGTTTTTCAGGAGGATGGTATGTAATCACCTTGAGAGTACAACATGAATTATCCTTAAGCAAGGTCTGCTTCCAATTATATTCACGAAGCTGTTGAGAGTATGCTTATCTGTAAGTATCTAGAAGTTCAAGGTTATTGCTGCACCACACACATGGGTTTGGATGTCTCTCCTGATGATTTTCAGTATACCTTTTCAATATCTAACAGTTCACTCATTTCACATCAAATCCATCCCTTTATTTAAACATATTAGGAATTTGGCAACTTTAAATATTAATAATTAAAGCAGAAGTCAAGGTCTAATAGTGATGGTGGGCTGTTGGCTGTGTCAGAATTGTTTCCAGGTAATGAAGGAAGCAGGAAGAGAGTTGTGGAAGAAAAGTGCTCAGAGGGGCAGAGGTTTTATTCAGCAGTCTGCTTTGTGTGCACCTAGTACTGAAAACTTTCTCTGCTAACAACTGAATGGATAAAGTGCTATGTATTCACTTTCTGTGTGTGTGTGTGTGGTTTAGAATAGGAACTGTGGATTGTTTTGCTTCTTGCGTCTGTTTTGTAAAGGACAATAACCAGATCAACAAAGCATTTTTATCAGGTGATGTTTTGCTAATTCTCAGAGAATGTAATTTATCCTAATGGGAACTGTGGAGAATTAGAGATCTGTGACACCTCCTGATCTAAAATACTATGATACTGTGATACACACAGTTTACATCAGGAGTTCTTTATGTTATGTGTATGATCATTTTTGGATCATTTTTATCCCAGAAGGTTCAAATTCCTGACCATGTGAGGCTCCATGGCTTTTTGGGTAGAATTGTCATTTTATTAAGAATCACTGCCTGCATTAAAATCAGTTTATTGTTACTACAGAGTTTCTACTTTTTCTCTTCTAATTTAGTAACATTTGAGGGTTTTTTTTTGTTGTTGTTGTTGTTTTGTTTTTGCCTTATCGCAGGGTGATAAATATAAAAAAGAATCACGGAAGTACTAAAAAGAAGAAAAGGTTCTTAAAATTGTCATGTAAAATTATGGGTAAATTTGTTGACCTATTTTAGTTATTTGGCACCCTTCAGAGAAGCAGAGACTTGGCAGTTTAGCAATGTCATGACAATATTCAGGTATATCTGAGGTATGGTCTAGAAGATTTTGTGTAGCCACTCAAAATTATTTTTAAGAAGCCTCAGGGCGCCTGGGCGGCTCAGTCAGTTAAGCATCCTTCTCTTGGTTTTGGCTAAGGTCAGGATCTCATAGGTCCTGAGATCAAGCCCTGCATTGGCCTCCCTGCTCAGTTGGGAGTCGGTTTGAAGATTCTCTTCCTGTGCCCCACCCCCCACTCTCTCTCTCTCTCTCTCTCTAATAGATAAATCTTTAAAAAAAATAAAAGAAGCCTTTACAGTGGGGCCCATAATTCCCCACTCCTTAAGTGTGGTCTGTGGTCTGTGCATAGTGACTTCCTTGCAGAGAGTATAGTATAGTATGGACAGGGGGAGAAAACGGGAGTAACTTGACAGGGAAGAGACCTTGACGGATAGTACCATAGCCATGTAATCAAGGTCAGCATCAACAATGATGAATCATATTGATGGTTTGGACCCTTGATATGATGTGGTTAAAATATTACTTGACCTTCATCTTCCTTCTAAAGCCCCATAGCCCTAGTCTAATCATGAGAAAAACACCAGACAAACCCCAGTTTTAGTTAATTAGAAAAAGCCTTACACAATGTAACTAAGTGTGGATGTGAACACAAATCTATCATCTCCTCTCAGATAAAGACAGAATGGCTAAATCTTTGTTACTGTTGCTACAGCTTGAATTAAATTGTCAATTGTTGACATTGACTGCTCTTATATAGGTGAGTAATGTTAGGAGGAAAATAGGTTAACAGTAAGCTTAACACTCTAAAAATGCTAGCATTAGGAAACAGATGACTATCAAAGCATAGTAGGTACAAAAATCAAACCTAGATCTCCAAAGAGCTAGTAACTTGCCTTGAAAAAGAAACTGCCTGATATTTCATAGCAGAATATTGTTTACCTTGGTAAGGTTATTTGATTAATTGGTATGGTTTTTATATGAAATCACAATCAGTTTATGTCACATTAAAAGAATAATTCCAAGGGGCGCCTGGGTGGCTCAGTCGTTGGGCGTCTGCCTTCAGCTCAGGTCATGGTCCCAGGGTCCTGGGATCGAGCCCCGCATCGGGCTCCCTGCTCGGCAGGAAGCCTGTTTCTCCCTCTCCCACTCCCGCTGCTTGTGTTCCCTCTCTCGCTGTATCTCTCTCTGTCAAATAAATAAAATATCTTTAAAAAAAAAAAAAAAGAAAGAAAAATTCCAAGATAAAAAAAGGTTACACATCTATAAATCAAAGTACTTGTTACTGGCTTTTCGATGCCATTTTATCTAGAAGAGAAAGTAGAAAACCTTTAGTAGCAAAGAAAAACACTTAACTTGAGGATTTCTTTTCCATGTGAAGTCCCGGGGAAAAAACAGTTGGTCTGTTTTTATTTTAAATACACATTTTTATTTGTTAAACCCTGCCTGATTTAATTGGTTTTACGAAAGTAGGCTATGCACTGGATACATATTTTGTATGGAACAAAATGACTTCTAAGTTCTAGAATATACTATAAGTCAAAGATTTAAGAAAATTCCATAGTCTAGAAACCAAGAACAATGTGCATTTCTGCATTGTATATTTCTGGCTTCCTCATAAAATGTGGACGAGCTTCTGCAGGAAATGTTTGCATTTGATTGTTTTTAAACTATGCTTTTGCACTTCTTTTTTCCTAGACCTTGTCTGCAATATGTAGGAGAAACTTACCCATTTATTCTTTACATAATACTGCCCTTGAGGGACAATGTGAGCGCTTTCTATCTATTAATCAGAGTAAACTGAGTTTAACAGATGATCAATGGCAGACACCTTCTCAAACCAAATGTCTTCCTTAAGAACTGAAAGGCTGGGGTGCCTGGGTGGCTCAGTCACTAAGCGTCTGCCTTCGGCTCAGGTCACGATCCCAGGGTCCTGGGATCGAGCCCCGCATCAGGCTCCCTGCTCGGCGGGAAGCCTGCTTCTCCCTCTCCCACTCTCCCTGCTTGTGTTCCCTCTCTCGCTGTGTCTCTCTCTGTCAAATAAATAAATAAAATCTTTAAAAAAAATAAAAATAAAAATAAAAAGAACTGAAAGGCATACACTTTCCATATCAAATCACCATCATCTTTCGTCTTCTCTATTCTAGTGCACTGACAGGCAGAATTCACCAGTCACATCACCAGGATCCTCTCCCCTTGCACAGAGAAGAAAACCACATCCAGATCCTCTCCAAATCCCACATCTAAGCCTGCCACCAGTACCTCCTCGCCTGGATCTAATTCAGAAAGGCATTGTCCGGTCTCCCTGTGGCAGCCCAACTGGTTCACCAAAGGTAAACGGATTTTATTAGAAACACAGATAATTTAAGTAACACTTATTGGTTGCTCAAGTTCCTTTGAATTCCATTCCTTGCATTTCTTGTGCTCTTAATTGTTTATGAAGAACTTTGATGTGTTTCTCATTTTGCTTATGGTGAGCCCACTATCATATCTTTGCTTTATTACTATAAAAGTTACATAATTATTCAGAGAGAGCATATGTCTATAATATCTCCCTGATTTGCAAAAATGCATAAAGAGTAAATATGGTTATTCTGTAAAATGGATTTCAAAAGTCATTATATGCATTAAAATAAATTGCATGCCCTTATCGAATGATATTTTACACTCATTTTCATCGTGTCATGACAAGAAAAAATGTGATGGGAGTATATTTGCATAAGGGCTTACAATGTGATAAATTATCACCCATGTTTCAAGGTGACTCAGAAGAGGGAATTATTTGTATAGTACTTTTTATACCTGAAGGAATTAATTACAAAGAATTACACTATTTGTGAAGTAATCACATTACTCTTTAATATTAAAGACATAATTCTAACTATGTAAATCTAAGTCCATGGTTTGTTTTAGTTTTATGAGGACTTTTTTTTCCAAATTCGATAAGGGCATATTTTGCTTTATTAAATATAAGACTTAAAAAGTTAATTCCATTTGGTAATATGCTCTAGAGTCTAAAATGAGTCAGAAGCACAATATTTTAGTAGTAGTTGATTGTTCTCTATTACAGTTAACTTGGTTTTAAGATCAGATTAAGACTTTTTAGGATTGTATTTAGTTAGAATTATGTAAACATATAGCACATTCCATTTTTTCTGTAATATTCTCTAACCATAAAAGTACAAAATCATTCATCGGATGAACCATGTAAATAAAAATAAAAACATGAGAATCACATAGATTCAATTTAGGTGCATGTACCTTCATATTTCCAGATGGGAATTAGACCGATATTTTTTCATTTTAAGGATCCATACAAATTCAGATAGGTTCTACAAATAATGCTGCTCTATTATTTATGATTTTCCACTGTTCTGGTAATAACTGGTAAAACAAAGGACCAGAGCAAATTTGCCCCTTATGTTACGAAATGGCAGAACCAACACTTTCTTTCAGAGATAATACAAATCAAGTTGCTCTTTCAAAAAGCAAAACAACAGCAACTTTGATAGTTTTCTTTCTCTCTCCTAAATTGTGTAAAGGTGCAAATAAATTAAGGACTAAATATTATTTTCAGTCAGTCAAAATCATCACATAATTTTGATATCTGCTACTTTTTCCTATAGAGTCTTTATAGTCCTTAACGTTTAAGTTTATGTATTCATTTTCTACAAAAAAATTCTAATGAGATATATTTGCGTAAACTTTTCCTTAATTTTCAAAAATGTCTTTAATTGATGATAAAAAGAAACATTAAAAGATGACACAGGAATCTAATAAAATTCCATTATGGCTTAGAAAACAAAAGTGATAATAGACTAGTCTGGAAATCATTTTTCAGTGTATGGTACAACTTCTAATTTTTTTTCCCATTGTATCTCTTCAGTCTTCTCCTTGCATGGTGAGAAAACAAGATAAACCGCTCCCAGCACCACCTCCTCCCTTAAGAGATCCTCCTCCACCTCCACCTGAGAGACCTCCCCCAATCCCACCTGAAAATAGACTGAGTCGTCACTTCCATCACGTGGAAAGTGTGCCTTCCCGAGACCAGCCAATGCCTCTTGAAGCCTGGTGCCCTCGGGATGTGTTTGGAACTAATCAGTCAGTGGGATGTCGGCTCTTAGGGGATGGCTCTCCAAAGCCTGGAATCACAGCAAGTTCAAATGTAAATGGAAGGCACGGTAGAATGGGCTCTGACCCTGTGCTTATGCGGAAACACAGACGCCATGATTTGCCTTTAGAAGGAGCCAAGGTAAGAAAGAAGCAAAGCAGAGATTAAACAGTCTTCTCAAACTCTTCTGATAGGAGGTAGAATAAAAGGTTGGGCAGTGGTTTTTTGTTTTTTGAGGGTTTTTTTGTTTTTTTTTGCCTGGTGTGGCACTTCCCTGAAGGTCTTTAATTATCTCCAAGTTATAAATAATCAGAAGCTCATTTAAACTTAAAAGAAGTCAGGAAGAAGGTTCTAAGTAATGATTTGATTTTAATGTGAAGACACTAGATAATTTGCAGGAGATTTATTACACCTTCCCTTATTTCATCTGCCAAAACTTTTTCCTATGAATAACTTGTTGGTGGGAGAATGAGCACCATTGTTTTTTGGTTTTGGGGTTTTTTTTTGTTTTTTGGTTTTTTTTGTTAACTCACCTGGTTCTACCTAGTCTGAAAAAAAGTTGATTATAGCGTATCATAAATCGGCCATTGACATTGTTGCCAAGGACAGTCACCTTGTGCATCCAGATAAAATGAACTTCTCCCATACATAAAGACAGCACTTCCAGGTCACTCTTACAGGGCAAGCTGTTTCTCCATAAAACTGAAAGAGACTGTCACACGTGTTGAGCTCTAACTTGAAAGATATCACCACTATCATTTATAGATCCAGGAAAGAATTTAAGCTTACAGGGAACCAAAGAGGCAGCAGCAGAAATCATTGAGTTTAGAATTCTTGGTAGGCCCTTGGCAGAGTTGTACTATAATATTTTCTGGTATTTGTTTTCATGATATTTTTGGCTCTGAGATCAGATGGTTGCCATCTTCCCTCGGCTGAAGGAGGCTTTGCCTCTTTGGAAGACTGTAATATTAAAGTGATGCCTCCCTATTGATCTTTAATTGTTATTTCAGGAGAGTAATCAATTCCTTCAAAATAATGGTTTGCATTGATGAATTCACCATATATTCAAGAAAAAAAGAAATGTGAAGTACGACACATGTATTCAACTTGTGTGTGTGTGTGTGCCCACACATACGTGTGCGTGTACACATGTGCTCTTGTGTCAAGGTTAAGTGCTAATGAAACCTTTGTATAATAATATTTAACTTCAGAGGTTCTAGGGCAGCCAGGATATGAAGAGTCAAAATGTCTAGTGTGGCATTCAAAACAAAGGGGAGGAGTGCTGGGAGTTTGCCATGACTCTTTGTCCAAGACTCACCTCGGTACCTTCAGTATTTTAAATATATCATCTATTTTAAATATGAAGGTCTCTAAAGGTTTCCTCCAAGGTCATCTAAACGTGTAAATGGAAGAAAAAGTATTTATAAAAGCATTTTTATAATGTTTTCTGAAAATGGAGTGCTTATCATCATCAAATGTATATTTCCACAACCTAGAATCTGGATTGAAAGGATCTGCTGGGTTGTTTTTCTTTTTTTCCTTTAACCTCTATTACTTTTCATTCATACCTGATCATACTTTTCTTGAGAAGAGTGTTGGAATGAGCTCTGACATGAATTGACTGGTTATATCTTGCAACACAATACAATTTATTTCCTGAATGGACTTTGGAAATACTTATAGTAATTATCTTAGCCAATTCATTGAAGACCTCTTATTTCTGGATTCTTTTACATAATATGTTATACAGTTTTAGCACTAATATAAACCTGCCCTTCTAAGCCCTAGAACATACTGGCTATTAATTTTTGTATGGAAGCTTACCATTTTTTAAATGGGGGTTATAATTTCTTAGGTTACAGGTATGAAATTTTATTATGTTAACTATAGGTATGAAATATTAATAGTGACTTCAGTTTTGAAGATTCCTTTAAATGTTTTCTATGTGAACTTTTGTGTCCTGACCATTGGTACATATTAATATCCTAGAGAACATTGAGTAAATTGCACAATATCTCATAGTGAAAGCTGGATTTTAATTTTGTTTAGTTCTTGCTAAATAATCCTCATTAAGATTCTTTAAGGTCTAATCTCATATGTTGTATGTATACAATGTTTATATTCTCAAAGTTGATTTCATGTTATAACCAGACATAAAATTTTAACCAAAATTAGACTTCTAAGATTTATGATTTCAGTCTAGTTGTTCAACTTCTACAATGGATTATAAAGAAGGATTTACATATAGTTAATATAATAAATAATGTAAAAGAGATGTTTCTTCTTCTTTTCTTTTATTATCTTTATGAAGGAACTTCAGTAGACCACAAGGTACATCATAATTTATATACAGTAGAAAAAGCCTAACTCCTCTTCTCATTTCACTGTTGCAAAACCTAAGAGACTGGCTTCAACTAACATCTGACAGAGGACTGAGTCCATCTGGGATCTTGTGGTTCTCAGTTTCTGTGATCCTGCCTTGGAGTTTGTTTCTCACCTTACTTTTTTTTTTTTTTTTTTAAGATTTTATTTATTTATTTGACAGAGAGACACAGCGAGAGAGGGAACACCAGCAGGGGGAGGGGGAGAGGGAGAAGCAGGCTCCCCGCAGAGCAGGGAGCCCGATGTGGGACTTGATCCCAGGACCCTGGGATCATGACCTGAGCCGAAGGCAGTCGCTTAACCGACTGAGCCACCCAGGCGCCCTCTCACCTTACATCTTTATAGTTCCTCCATCCAAACTGATTAAATTTCACATTTGTAAGTGCTTTCTATATGCAAGACCCTCCTGGTGTTCAGGATAACCAGAATCCCAATGTTTTCTCCCCTTCCAAATTTAACAAAAGGTTTTTATAGCAGAGAACTCCTTCAGACAGAATGAAAACTGACAAGGATAAGGCAAACCTGGTAGCTGCATTTTAACAGAGCTAACCATCTTATCAGCACAGATCAGCCAGGCTCTGGAATCAGAACGGAGTCTTACTTCCTGCTGTAGAAGTTACTTTGTGGAGGCGAGCAACGTACTACATCTTTGCCCCAACTCCACTTATTTTTCTTACCTTTTTTTAAATGAGTAGATTTATTTATAACATAAAAAATATTTCCTTATTTTTTAAAATTCTGGTATAGTTAACATACAGTGTTATATTAATTTCAGGTATACAATATAGTGACTCAGCACTTGCGTACATCACCCGGCACTCCTCACCACAAGTGCACTCCTTAATCGATTCTATTTCCCCCGTCCCCCCAACCCACCTCCCTTCTGGGAACCATAGTTAAGCGTGTTTCTTGGTTTGTCTCTCTTATTTTTCTTACTTTATAAAATGGAAGAATAATAGTACCTTATCTAGGAGAATAGTTACCCTCCAAATACCTAAATCCTCCTACTCCTCAGGTCTGGAATAAAACCAAAAGTAACAGCTAGACATAAAGGAGCAGTAGAAGTTGTAACAGTTGACATTTTCATTCATTACAGTTGTCCTTTTTTTTCTTTTTTACAAATTTAAGACCAAAATCATCATCTCTTTCTCTCCCTCCTCTCTTTTTATTTAGCATAATTCCTAATGAGTACATTGGTTGCTGAGTTAGTACAATATTTAAGCTGATGATAGAAGCAAGAGAGTGTATATGTGCTGGGGTTGGGTTGGGCGAGGGCAGGGCAGGGAAAGGGCTTGGAGGAAGAGGACATCCATGATATACAAGGAGGAAAAACAGCTTTTTAATGTATTTTTCCAACACTGGCCTTCAGCCGAAGGTAGCATGTAATTTTCTCATTTGAAATATGAGTTTTTTCCTCCTATTTTTCATGAGAATAGTAAATGTTACAATGTATCCTCACCCCCCATACCTGGTGTGCAGTTTTTAAAGCATTTTACCATGGGAATGAAGGGGATGAGGATCTAGATATTTGGAAGTTGATGTATCTTCACATAACCCATCAATCTCTCCAATTGTAAACAAACACATGGTTGTGTGAAATAGGAACAACTTTCATGTAAACTTGTGTTCATTAGAGGGAATACTTCAAATGAACTATTAGCTTCCCATTATAAAGATAAGAAAACTTGAGTAAGCACAAAATGCTTAAATTAGAATTGGATGTACCTGCAGGGGGAATTCATAAAATGAACACCCGTAAATGGAGAGACAACTTGCTTTCCTTCATCATGTGTCCTCTGTCACTGTGCCACTTCCCACCATCCATTAGAGGCATTTGCCCTTTCCATTTGCATCTTCACGAGATGAATGGTAAGGGGAGCAAGAATAAATTAAATTCTAATTACACCATTTGCCACTTGTAGAGAGCTGTGAGGGAAAGAGCCATTCAGCTCATCATTAAAATGAAGTGTAAGAATTTTCTGTGACTTTCATTGACTCCCTTTTCTCTCCTCCCTCCCACCTAACATCATCAAATTAGCTTAGGTAATACTTTACTTTTAATGTGAATGTGCAAGCTAAGAGTTTTTAGGTTTATCTTGTTTTATTGGTAAGAAATTTCTTTCCTGTAGTACTGTTTCCTTTCTCTGAAATTCTCAGATTCTAGCCACATTAGAAACCTGCTCTTTAATAAAATTTTGTTGGCTAGATATTTATTGTTGGTGTTGGTTTGTTTTAATTAGCTGAGGTGAAAATATTTGCATTAAAATGTTTTAAAATATCATTGGATACTTGAAATTTATCTACTTATATCCAGATACTAATGTTGTGTTAAACTATCTTTATTTGTTCCTCTTGAAAGTTTAAGAATACTGCTGTTTCTAATGTGATAGAAAACTATCACTGACTTGAGATGTTACTTCAAGTGACATTATTCTAAAATGATCCTGTGTACAATAATCTTTTGAAGATGCTGCTAGATAAATACGTTGAAAAGTTCCCCTTTTTGAGATTGTGGCTTTTGCCTTTTGGTGGAGAGGCACATATTTATATGAATACCTCGAACTTATCTATAAATCTGAAGAGCTATCAAGAAATAAGTCCTCGGCATACACTGGTTTCATTTCCAATCTGATGTCATAGAAGGACAGATTTTAGCCATATTTTGGGGGTATGTTTGTGTGGCTTCACATACGTGGGATAAGGAAAAGGGATTGCCTTTGGGGTTTTGTACAAATAAAAGATTTTGTCTTAATTGTGCTAAGATGATCACAAAAGACCCGGTATCTCAAGGGTCCCAAATACTTGAAGCTTAATTTTTAGACAATATTTGAATCTTAAGAAGACACTTCAAACTTCAAGATTAGCATTGATGCTATCTTAAGGCATGTAGAAACATATTAATCTAGGATAACCTAGAATTTATAATAAGTTACATGATAACTCAGATTAAACTTCTTCCATAAGTCTAAACTTCCCCTACTGTCTTTTTATTTCTTCAGCCTCTTTCAGCTGTATGAGTTCTTAAGATGTTTAAGACACCAGGGGAAATACAAAATGAATAAAGCAAAGTCTAGTGATAGTGAGAAGGAGACAGGTGTAGGATTAGTTCACTAAAAGATAAGACATAGGAGAAGCATTCAGAAAGAACAATACGGGCTCCTCAAGAAGAAAAACAAATCTCACTGAGATGCAGTGTAAAAGAAGAAATAAAGAAAGCTGCATGCAAGAAGGTCACTGGCTTATAGACACGAAAAGATTGGAGGGTGTTTTTGTAGACATGACAGGGAGGACTAGCATGAAGGAAGGGAGAATGGGCATAGTGAAGGAAGTCCATTTTGGATGGCTAAAATAGAATAGGCAGGGTAGGTGAAATACAGCAGTGTAGATTGAAACCAATAATAGAGTGTTCTGAATTCTACACTAAATTATCTTTAATTTGTTAGACAGGAAAGAGGTTTTAAAGGTTTTTGTTGTTGTTGTTATTTGTTTTTTGGCAGAATAGTAATAGGAGCAGAATATTTAAATTGGTAGCATTTTCAATGGAGTTGTGGTACATTTGGGATGGTCAGCTGGGAAGGCAGGAGAAAAAGATGTCTCCTTAGTTAAAGAATTAAAGAAGACCTGAATCTGGGGGCCTGGATGGCTCCGTTGGTTAAGTGTCTGACTCTTGATTTTGGCTCAGGTCATGATCCCAGGGTCGTCACATCAAACCCCGTGTCGGGCTCCCCACCAAGTGTGGAGCCTGCTTGAGATCTTGAGATTCTCCCTCTCCCTCTGCCCCTGCCCCACCCTCCCCCACGCCCATGTCTCTCTTTAAAAAAAAAAAAGGCCTGAATCCATGGGGTTTCCATGTAAATTGTTTCCGTTGATGCCATCAGTCTACACATTTGAGGAACAATTTTTTTTCTATTTATAAACAGGCTTTTCACATTTCCAAAGAACATAAAATATTTATTTTTAGCTCAACCTATAATTTATTGCACTCACTCAGGCAGTGGCAGCTAAAATGATTCTAAGTCTACTAGAATGGGTGCAGGTGGGAACATGGAATTCAGAATGAAATGGTGTTTGGGATCTGTTTTGTCCACATGTAACTATAGTATCGCCTCTAATGAGGGAGACATGCAAAGGAGAAATTGGAACTCCAGCACAGGTCCTAGATTTTAGAGTGACACCTCAATGCTATACGATTTAGATTGTGTAACTCTGAAAAGCAATCATTGATATATTTCAAATGTGTCCTTTAAACCATGTTTCTTATTTTAAGTTGATAGAGAAGGGCATGGACTTTTATCTTGCGTCCAAAAGCTTCAACACCATTTTAGAAATACGAGGGGAGGAAAAGAAATTGGTAATGGGGCTATATCGGGCTTTTCAGGTTATATTACAGCCTTTTGCCCCCATATCAGCTTACCTTTTAAATATGAATTAATAAGAGTTTCGGTAAGAGCCCCATGACAAAAACTAATGATTACTTAAAGATTTTAAAATATGTCTAACCTTTTTTGTATGTGTGTGACTGTGCAAAGTTAGTCTCTTTTTTTAAATTGCTTTAATTCCAAGTTGTTGCATTAGTAACAAGCAGTTGTTCAGTGCCTGTAGTATAACTGAGAAACCTGGAAATCGGAATTTCTTATTCTGAGTAATTAAACACTGGCTCTCCACCTTATTAGCAAGGTAACAATTTTAGCTTGTGCTGTTCACACGAAAAATTTCATTTAAAATTGCATGCACTTTGAAAGCCAGAACAGGTCTCTCGTTGCCAATAATGTTGAAGCTTAAGCCTTGAAAGGTGAAAGGCATTTCTGATTGTACTCATGTATTGTTTTATCAAGAAGTTTAAAAATGTTCTGTTAACCCCAGAGAGATATAATTTAGAACACTTTTTTTGGGAGAATTGAAATAAGAATTGCACCAGTACTGCTTTCTTTTCACAGAATCCTATAGAGAATGGTAACTTTTCCATAAAAACTGATAGGTATTTGGGAAATTTTACTGTCTGTACATCTAGCTACCTGTATCAGATTTATAGAAATTATAGTATGTATTCCTTCTCAATATGTTCAAGAATCACGTTGTATTATATTTTTTACATATAACTTGGTATACTCCTTTGGTTAGTGGTGAATAATCGCTATGGTGCCTCTGACTCCTAAGTAAATTATATGATATTTCACTTGTTTAAATAAACTGACATTACATATGCTTTTCAAAATTATAGTTTTTCTAAGAGCTGTTACTGTTTTAAGGTCCTCCAGAAGTTAAATTCTTAAACTAGCCCTTTCATTTCCTTTCAGGTCTTTTCCAATGGCCACCTGGGAAGTGAAGAATATGATGTTCCTCCCCGGCTTTCTCCTCCTCCTCCTCCCGCTGCCACCCTCCTCCCTAGCATCAAGTGAGTTCTGTTGAATTTGGAGGGTGTGTAAAGCTATGGTAAATAGTGGGTGTGAAGTACTCCATACAGAAAGTACAAGGTGAATAGAAACACATCAATAAAAATGATCCAGTCAGATTTATAAACTAATGTACCAGAAATCAAGATCCTTCCTGATTCTTTGCTGGGAACCACAGCATCTATGACACTTACCTAAACTTTGAGCATGGAGCTCGGGGAGAGAAAACTTAAGTCTTCCTTGTATCGGAGAAGAGGACAGAGTAGCACAATGAGCTTTCTCCTCCAATTTACCTCTCTCCCTGAGGGGCGTCACATTTATCCCAACTATCCAGTGTGATACCAGAAAATAATCTTTGATTCCTTCAATTTTCCCAATGCCCAAACCCATTCAGTCACTAAGTCACATTGATTGTTCTTTGGAAGTTTTTTTTTATAATCAGCTAATCTTTCCGGTTGCCTCATAGCTGGACAACTGAAAGAATCTTACACATGATGGTATGTCCTGATCTTAGAATTTGTATCAGTGGATTTTAAAATGAATCAGCCGAAAAATAAGTTAACCTGGGTTATCGTATTTGAAAAATGGGGACACAAGAGACACATTGGACAGTTAGTTAAGTGATAGATCTACCCAAGTCAAAGCAGGATAAAACCAAGTCTCCTGATTCCCATTTTCCTGCTCTTTATGTTAAATCAGGCTCCCTGCCTTTTCTCCAATATATTTTGTTTACACAGCTGATTGAATTTAAATTCTGCTTTCTCCAGATCACTTTCCTCTTTAAAACCCAGCATTGTTTTTTCTTTCCTTTTAAATTATTCTGTGCTCTTCTGCTAGCAGTAAGATCCACAGGATTTTACCCAACTAAAACATTGTTCAGTAATTCCTAATGCTTGCCATCCAATCTTGTCTTGATTTTTTTTTCCTGGTTTTGTGAGTTTTTCAAGCTGTTTCCGCCTATGCACCACCCTTTCAGAATCTTTATTCTAAAGGTCCATGTCTCAGGCTCTATTTCTTTATGAAAACTTGTGTGACATCTTCATTCATAATGACAGTAAGTGGTAAGACTAATTCTCATTTTTCTTTCTACAGTCTATGTCCTACACATTTAACTATGAACTCTGCTCCACTGTCTTCTAATTTTAAAGTGCTTCTCCACATTAAAAAAGATTATAAGGTTTTGAGGGCAAAAACTTTTTCTTAAATTTTCTGATCTTCCATAACCCGTTACTGTGTTTGCTGTGTAATGAATACACCGAGAGTACCTGGTTGCTTGGTTGACTATCGGGTAAGATCTCACTTCTAATTGAAAGTCTTAGAGCATCTTCACTCCTTCCTCTGCTGGTCACTGAGCTCCCCTATACATAAAAATACAAAAGAAGGATAAGCTAAATCCCAGCCCCCAAGAAATTTGCACTCTACTTTAGAAAATAAAGTGAACATACATGAAATCCCTAGAGAACATTATGCACTAAATTGTATAATTCTAACTTCTTAGTTTTTACTTATGCTTGGAGGAAAGACTGTTACAGACTTTGTAAGTCTGAGGCTGTTTCATAGGATGGAAATTTCCTGAGTCATGAAGAATAGACACAGTTCAAAAAGTGAGCGGACAAGAAGAAGCAAGAGTGTGAAATGTGACATCATTCAGGGGACAGTGGGAAACTAAGCTATTTGGAGCATTCTCCAGTGGTAACTTTTCTGGGAACTGCCAGATAATGTAGCTGACATAAAAGTTGGAAGCAAACACACATATTCTGTATAGTAGGCTCTAAATCAGTAAGAACATAGGATATCCCAGCCTCAAATGAACTCTGGATATATGTATATATAATAAAACATCTAAGTTCAATTAACTCTGATAATTCAGAAAATGAAGTAAATAAAATCTTGCCAATTAGAGATGAAATTCATATATTCTGTTTATTAAATTCCTATTGGCAAGTGGGTAAGAAGCAGAAGTTGCAGTTTGCTTCATATATATTCAATATTAGATACCGTTTCTCCTATAAATTAAGAATAAATTCATAGCATAGTGTGTTTTATTAATATTTTTCTAGTCCTTCAGTTTGTAAGTGCCTGTGAATATATGTTGTCCCCATTTACTCTTGATTTTTCCCTCGGAAACAGTGCAGTTGCTTTACTTAAACAGAGAAATATTTTAACAATATATGTTTAACAGCAAATTAGTTTTTGATTCTGCATGCTGCAAATTAACCGTAATTAACAATACAAGTGTCGACTTTTAATGTGACATTTATCTCTTCAGTTTTTTATTCTGACTATATAGGTAGCAGTTGTTCATTGTATAAAATATGGAAACTGTAGAAAAGAAAGAAAATTAACAAATATGTAAATACAAGCATATACATACTCAAAATATCAATGTCCAGAGTTTTAACATTTTGAATTTTTTTAGATTTTTTTTACATGATTTAGATTATATTGTAGAGATAATTTCATGCCCTTCTTTGTTACTTAATATTTTAATAAGCACTTGTCTTAATCATTTATGGACTGTGTTATTATAAAACCAGCATGGAATTTTGAAGTGAACATTAAAAATAGTCAAACCTGATCCCAGACCTGACTCCAGCAATATTAAGTATTTGACTGTCTTTGAAGAAGGCAACTTCTCAGGCCTCACTTTCTCCAAGTGATAAATGAAGGGGCTGTTTATCTTAAATGATCTCCAAAATCCTTTTGGGCTTCAACTTTTTAGGTTCTATGCAGTATGTTTTTTAAGGGGTACTCATCTATAGTGTTAATTATATATGAAATATTTGGCAATGTAAGTGTTCATTTGTAGTTGGCTGTTTGTGTCTCATTGCTGAAGCCAGTATGAGTTGGATTACTGCTCTAGTTTTGTTTGGTTTTTGTTTTTTATGTTTGGTCTACCTGAGCCTCATTAGAATGTATAACCAGAGTCCAGTGAGTATAGACCCGTAGCCCTAGAGGGGCATAGAGCAGAGGTCTCAGCAAATAGGGATGAAATAGAGATGTTGGATGTTCAAGTACCTAATTCCATGTTAGACTCTTTCTGCATGTTTCAAAATCAGCCCAAAGCAAAATCACATATTACTACCTAACGTAGACTTATATTTCTCGCAAATATTGAAAATCCCAAAGTTGAATTCAGGAAAGTCGCAGCTAGCATTTACCTTTTTATTTTTGTTTTTATTTTTTATTTATTTATTTTTTACATTTGTAATGTTTTATTTCTTTTTTTTGTATTATGTTAATCACCATACATCATTAGTTTTTGTTTTTGTTTTTTTTTTAAAGATTTCATTTATTTATTTGAGAGACAGAGAATGAGAGAGAACACATGAGAGGGGATAGGGTCAGAGGGCAAAGCAGACTCCCTGCCGAGCAGGGAGCCCGATGCGGGACTCGATTCAGGGACTCCAGGATCATGACCTGAGCCGAAGGCAGTCGCTCAACCAACTGAGCCACCCAGGCGCCCCATCATTAGTTTTTGATGTAGTGTTCCATGATTCATTATTTGCGTATAACACCCAGTGCTCCATGCAGAACGTGCCCTCTTTAATACCCATCACCAGGCTAACCCATCCTCCCACCCCCGATGGTGGCATTTACCTTTTTAAATGTACATTGTGTTGTTATAAATATTTACCAAAGTGTAATTGTTAAATTATTTGATGTTACCGTGATTCCCATTTACTTGATGTAAGAGACTATGCTGATAGTTTTACTTTCTTATAAAATTATATGTTTGCAATTATGTGACTTTCATTATATAACTATCTTGAGACCTAGAAGAATATAGAATTTATTTTTAAAAAATGTTCTGTTAAGCAAGCTAAAACTGTACTAGTTTGCATAGATTGTTATTTTTTTCTTAAATAGTTTTTCTAAATGGTTTCTATTTAACATAATTGACATTTAGCTATAAATGTAAAATTTTAAATAAAAGCTTAAAACATGGGTACTTACTATTTTCTAGGAGGAGAATGAAAAAAAAATCCTATGTGTATTATACTTTTTACTTTGTAGTTTAAATTTTTACTAAATTATATTTGTCTTGAAATAAATTGACTAGAGTTGAATAAGGTTTTCCGGGGTTAAATATTATACCACCTTTAAAGCCAAGATAAGAATTTTGGTTTGGTTAGTTTCGGAAAGTTTTGGTCAGCATTTTGACATGATACTGGTTTGCATTTTTAAAGAATTTCCCTGGCTGTTATGTGGAAAATTGTCGTTAGGACAGCAGAAGTGAAAGCAGGGAGACCAATGGAGGGTCTGATGTGGGCGTTGTCTGATGTGGTAGACCAGTCAGAGATGGTCAGGGCTTTGACTGGAGTCACGGTGATAGATTTACTAGGTCAGCTTTGGGGAATATTTTGATCCAATGGTACCTGTTAATAAACTGGGTATCTGTGAGGTATGATAGTTAATGACGACCCCTACATAGGTTTTTGGCTAAAGAAACTGAGTGAATCATTGGTGCCATTTTCCAAAGTGAGGGAGACTGGGGAAGAGCAGATGCGGGAACAGGACAGAGACTTAGGGATCTGCTGAGTTTGGAATGCTTAACACACACACACACACACACGCGCGCGCACACACACACACACCCCTAAATAGACATTTTGAGGGAACAGTTGAACATACGATCTAAGCTTAAAATTTATATTATATTCAGGTGAATATTTCAGTAGGTACTATCAAAAGCTAATAAACTTAATGCTCAAATTTAATAGATTTGTTATACTCTTAGACATATGAGTGTTAACTGTGAGATTTTTAACAATATAGGAACTTATATATTAAAATATAACCTTGGAGTAGACTATGCCATTTACCCCTGAAATGTTAATTAGATAAAATTTATTTAGAACACTTCTGTAGAGTAAAATTTTAGTAAACATTATTGGTTATTATCAAAATCTTCATTTATATCCCAAATTGCTAGGGAAAATAAACTAGAAATGTAGCTTTGTGAATGTAGCCTCGACAACTGCCACCCTCCAGTGAGAGT